TTTTTTTTCAGAATGCCAAGTTACCACTTGTTGTTGATGTCGTCATGATCATTGCCGTTTTTCTGCTGCCCACAACAGTGGCAGCACTTTGCCCCGATACCGTCACCTGCATCAATCGAGTTCGGGAGATTGTCGCTGCACCGAGGAAGTGAGTTTACCCGGAGATGCTTCACCTATCAGACGATCCTTTGATTCAACTCTCCAATTTAGGTTTTGGTTTGGCGAACAGCGACGATCACTATGCCAGGGACGAAATGCCGACCCAGTGGAATGCTTCGGACCACCACATCTGGGCACCTTCCATTCTGTGGGCAGTCGTCTTTTCCGAGTCAGAACCTACCACGCCGCCTATCTCAGGAATCTTCGGATTTTCCCCCGGGTGACCTTCCGAGCCCATTCCGGTTTGTTCTTTTGGAGTTTGACGGGAGTATTCTGAAGCCTCAAAGAATACGTTTTAGGTGATTATCGTGCATGCGATCACGACTTTCGAGCTGGAAACGGGAGCGTGCAGATTGTCGAGGCAGACCCGGATATGCCTCCTGTAGCGCCCTATTTTATCCGTTCGAAGCCTGAAATCACTTGGCATGGGCTGCAGTATGACGAAGAATTTGTCATAGCCATCACTGATGTCGGGTTTGGCTCACTCAATTATCTTCTGACGGGATTTCCTCGTCAACCTATGGTGAGTCTGTGCAAAATGGAATACTTGGGGCCTATCAAGAGCCACATTGTAATCCTTTTCAGGTGCTACATGACTATGAACCATCGGAGAACTTCCGTCCGGAACCGAATCCGATGGTGGTGGTTGTGTTTCGCAAACCGAAGACATCATCCCTCAAAATTGGACGAGCAGATGACTTTGATATCTCAAAGTTCATGCTTGACAACGACCTTGCTGATGGTTAGCCTTTCATAACTTTTTTCTTATTTGAGCAGTCCAAACTCGGTATTGGCTCCGAAGGGGCGCTATGCGTTCTTCTGGAAGCTGTCGCTCATTCATGAAGTTCGGCCTCATTGAGTGGTTGTAGAATTGAGGCTGTTCGAGAGCTATGGAAGGATTAAGCTAATAGTGAATAGGATGAGTTGCCGAGCGGAGAAGTGGACGAGTTTTCCGACGCTGTATTTGGATTCATGTTATACAATCATTCATTTCGTTGAAAAAGAAAACTCAATAGAACGATTCGGTCATAGATTCCTCGGTAACTCAGCCTGTCCAATTCTTCTTTCATTTGCCGTGAAAGGAGAGTTAGCGACTCTAAAATGACCAGTTATTTATGATAGCTCCATAGTAGTCGAGACAGGTGCCATCTGGAAAGGGTCTTGTAGTAGTTCGATACGGGAGGGTATGTCAGAAGTCTCCTTCAGGTCGCGGTGGCCCTAGCCATGTTCCGGAGGGAAGGGTTAGTAGGGTAAGAGACCATGAAGGTCTGATTCCGTACCGTATGGGTTCCTCCTCTTTTCTGCCCGATATTCGGCTCTAAAAGACGATTTCCTTCTGCGTCTTCGATTAAATTCCAATAGGAGGTGGAAAAATAGCTCCAACTGGGGTTTGGCGCTCAATAGCATGTGGGCAAAACTTAGGTTTTTAACCACTTGTCCGGAGTCTGTTTTATTAGTCTGCCTAAGGAAAATCGACAGATCTCTTCCCAAACAGGCAGGACGGTGCGGTTTTCATCAAAAATTATTGAAATTCTTGGTGACATTGCTTTCTGTGATAAACATACTTCTAGATTTGATTGGCCTATCGCTGATTATCGTCGGGAGCGATGCGTTTGCCATCGAACGACAACGACTCCGAGGAACAATCGACAACTGTCACAGCCTTCTAAGAAACAGTAAGTGAGCGTCCCATATCATCTGAAGTAGCACATCCAGGATTTGATCCACGGACCATCCGTGTGGTAGTGACAATGCTTTGTGCCACTCCTCTTCCCTCATTAAGAATCCTGATCGCGTCTATTCTCAGAACTGCTCCGCCATCCACCTGCTCCATTGCTTAACCGTCTTCCACTGGAGGAACTGAATTCCTGGCTGACTGTCTCTGTTAACTTGCCGCAACTTGACGTCAACGTTTGCTGCCAACAAGTTCGACAAAAGTAAGTCCATCCCAATCCTTTCCAAAGTTTTACCTTGACGGGTATTGTTTCAGGGCAGCTGCAGTCTTCTTCGATCCCCTTGGAGCAGCTACTGTCTCGGCTTCTGCCATGGTGATTCCACCGTCAGTGAACTCTGCAAGGATTCCTATTCAAAGTCCATCGTATGTCAATTATCATCGCCAAGCCAGGACACATATCGGTGAGTGGCTTTCAGAGAACAGCTTTCCGAGTGAGACTTCTCGTTGAAGTTTTTTCCCGACAACATATCAGATTTCTTGTCGAAGGTCTTTTTCACACCATACTCTGAAAAGATACGCGGAGTGAACTTTGTAGCCTGGGGAAATGCTCTGAATTTTTGGGAATATCTTGGGTCCCGGAAAAATTGTCCTTTCCTTTGATTTTCGTGAATATGAAAGGAATACATCAAATCACGTGAACCATCGAGTTGTTTTGTTTTATTCTGACTTAATTTTTATTTTCTATTTCAATTCAATTTTCATCCCCTTTCTGGTTTTAAATTTTGCCTTGTATATTATGGATTGTCCTTCAGATCAGGCCACCAGAATGTTTTAGACGGAAAAATAAAAGTATAAAAACAAAAAATCAACGGAAAATTTTGTTTCTTGATCTAAAACCTTGGAAAAATTTAGGAAAATAGGTCCAATCAAAAATTTCCTGAAAGTGATGTTCGCCTTTTCAAATTGTTTATCCCGACTTCGTCATGACTTTTCCTACCAGTTCTGACGTCGTACTTTCAGCCCTCATGGACGAGTTGTACACTTTGGTGGCTGTGGATGCAACAAGTTCAATGCTCCATTGGATGATCGTTGATATTCCTGCACAGGAACTTGCCTCATCACCAAACGGGATTACGGTAAGTAGAAGTCAAAGGGGTCAAAGTTTGTTTTCATCGATGAACCAATGCAATTGTCGAAACGAGCAATGGCGATAGAGCCACTTAGATGTAATTTGTTTCAAAGCGCACAGATCACATTGTGAAGTGTCGCCTGAAAGTCTGAAAATCATGTTTGAAATGTACGGGATGGAACTGCTACGTCCTAATTCGGCCATTTTTTCAGAAAGCAAACTACCTACCGTTTGCTCCTGAACGACCGGCCAGCTGTTCACCTTTTGCACTGTTCCTCTTCTCACAACCGGCTACACTGAACATGATTCCCATGTACTGTGATGGTGTATGTGACCTGCGAGCAAAGTTCAGGTAAATCAAAATCAGAGGTTTTTGCCCCAATTAGAAATGCTCCAGGTGGAAGCAACAAGAATTCAATGCCTCCACGATTTTCGCATCAGCAGGAAGAGCGGCTTGCTGTGACGTACCGTTATTGACTATTAATAGTTCAGGATCCTATTTTATTTAATTATACTTTGACCAAAAGCACAAGGTACACAAAGCACAAGGTACAAATTGTCAAAAGCAGTCAGTTTACGATAGAGATTTTTCTCAAAATTTCCAATTAGGATAGACTTGTGGCTCCTACTTTTCATCAAAGATGCCGTATAGAAAGCCACAATTGGAAATATCAGAACTCAATCTGCTGTAGATATGTTGGGAGCAATAAAGCCTCAAACACCTGCCTCGTTAATGTCCACATCCAAAAGTGGACGTGTTCTAAAGGCGTTGTAGATGACTGCACCAATCGCAATAGAGCACACTTGCTGGGAATTCATTCAGCTAGTAGTCGTGACCCATGGTGACAGTTGAAGGCAGCTTTTGATATTCTTGACTTATTGTAGCAAGCTCTTGACGAAAATGCTTCCTCTTATTTTCCAAAGGTATCTCGAATTTATCACGGACAGTGACGCCGCCATCTCACTTATGGTTCGAGGTACAGCCTAGCATCGTTGTTCCACTAAAAGATACGGTCCTATAACCCTCCATGATTGATTATCCGATACCAACTAGATACAAGCCAGACTTGCACCATCTTGGATGGTGCAAGTCTGGCTTGTACATCGCAATGGCTTCGCTAGCCATAGTGTCGGCCAAGTTCCAAATCGATTTTGAATGAATTCGTGTGAGAGCGAATCCCATGAGGGTTTGATCAATCAACACCAACAAATGAACTATGTCTTTTGTCGTTGATCAGTCCCATTTATGGGGCACGCCCTGCATTCGATTTTTATTCAAAATCGTAGCAGCGGTTGAATATTTGTGCGGCCTATACAATGAATTGCGTTGGCTAGCCGGTGTACAAAACAGCTCTTTCATCCTCCCTGTAGGTATGGAAGGACTAATCGGTTTTGCAGATATTCCTCCGGGGTTCGATCCTTGAACCGTGCGGGTGTGATAGTGAGCTAATTGCCACTATAACACCTCCGTACAATTACATATCTAATTGTTTTTTTTAATTAAGATTAATTGATTTTTCAGAATGGACGTCTTCAAACAGCGGTACATGCTACGGCTAAGGGCGATATCGTGGATCAGCGTATGCTACGACCTGCCTTATGCTTACCATGTGATAAGGGACGCTATGAATACGACGAGAATCCCATCGGAAGAGACAGAAGATATCCCGATAATAAAGTATGTATGTTTGGAACCATAACATCGACTTTGTGTAGTCAAACTGAGTCTGGAAGCATTCGGACGTTCGAATTTTCTGATATTCTCCTCTTTCCCTCTAAAACGAACAGCCCTGGAGGTATCATAAACTTCCTTCTGCTATTGCCCATAATAAATAAAATACAGCTGCTAAATAAAGATTTTGGACGAGTATCCCCTCCTGTCTAATGAAGATTTTTTGAGAACCTACCTGTTTTCGAAAAAATGCTCATCAGTCGATTGAACAGCTAGTGAGCTAATCAGCTGATCTGTGAAAAATTGTCATACCACCAGCTTATAGGGGAGTGAATGAGCAACTTTGCCAGAATCTACCAGAGCCCAGCAGCTTGAGCCCTATTTTTTATATCCTTTTTGCTTCAATCAATTCCATTGTGGGATACGCCCTGTGTTCAACTTCTATCCAAAATTGTTATAAAGTGTGAAACTAGGATTTTTATTTGCAAGAAATTCTGTAAAAAAAAACGTTCATGAATGGTAGTGAGGGAAGCAATACGGTGAAATTGTTATCAGATCCGATATTGTGCTTCTACTCCACTGATCCATCATTAGAGTTCGTTGTTTTAAATGAGACGATGAATGAACTTGGGATAGAAAAATCAGAATTTAAAAAATTTCAAATTTTATTCTGTTCTTAGTTTTTTTCTATTTTAGCGCTCCAGTACTGGCCACACCGTCCCCATCGACATCGTCGTTGATCTGCTCGGCTTTCCACGTCTCTCATCGTCACAGATGTCCTGTCAGCAGCTCCCAGCAGAACTCAGTGCTGGCTGTCGCAGTTCTGACGTCGTTCCTGCTACTCCTTCTTTCCAATCGATCCGTCTAGTCTTCCGATGATTCTTTGATGCAGCTCATATTGTGCTGAATTCTTTCATTTGTGGTCTACGTGTGCAATGGGACTGTGCAGGGAGGTGCTCTTAAGGTTCTGCCCAGTCCTGCCGCTCAACCACCATCTAAATCTTGTACAAATTACATGTGATTGCCCGATATATACCAGATATTATGTGTATAAATGTTTAAGAGTTTCTCTATGACTGTAATAGAAATTGTGAGTTTCAGAACTGCTCATAGCAGTTTACTGTTCGGTGCATTCTCGTCCATCATCAACCAATCCGTAGCATTCAAGTGAAATTGATGAGAAAGGAGCTTATTGAGCAACCCATGTGTTGATCCATTAATTGGCCTGGATCACCTGAAACCCTCTTATCTGCTTGACCTTTTCAGTTCACTCTTTATTCTCGGGCCTTCATTCTATTCATTGACCTCTCTGAATGATTTATTTGCGATTTTCTTTTCTATTGGTTCCCGTGGGCGTGGCATAGCCTTTTCCTGATTAAATTTTGATAGTGAGCGATAATATCAAGTCCCACTTAAGGGTGTATTTTAGTTAGTGATAGTGGGCTTGAAGATCGAAAGTGGCAAAGCGTTACGGTTGCCTTGGTCACTTATCAGTCTATCGTCTCTTCTCAGGGATTTACCTGACTTGATCTGGTTGGGACCCGATTTACTTGGGTAAGGGGATCGATAGGAACAGCAGCACGGCTGCACTCGACATGGAGCGGATAGTAGCCGTCATTGACTCCCAATTGAAACCGCTTTCAGACAGCCCACTCCCGGAGGTATCTGCAAATCTACAACGGAACCTGATACTCATGGTGAGAATAGAACTTCGAGCCGTAAGCTTCGTTCCCTCATTTGCCCATCGGGAGTCATTTTCGGGTTTGAGGGAGAGCGTTTCGATTGGGGTTTCACTTTGAGTACGTTGTGGGAGTTTTGCTCGGCCAGTGCAGCCATTTCGCTATGATGAATCTCTGTTGAAATCTTTAAGCTGTCTGTTAGAAGACTTTGTTGAGTTCTCGAATGATTCGCTGAGAAAGCTTGAAAGAGACGATAATGGGTGCGTGTTCGGCTTAGATGGAGAACCGACGGAAAATGGGCTTAAAACCCTACATTGGCGAACTCGAGCCTGAAGGGGTGGAAAGTGGGATCGTCACCGTGAGTGGGTCAATATCAAGATCACTGATTGGGACTGGGCCGGCTTCTTGCTAGGAGAACCGCAACTGGGTCGTCAGAGCGACAAAGGAAGCAAAGGGCACAGTTTCCCGAAAGGCTCGCCGTAGTTCGCCTGTTCGGATCAGCACCGACCATCCGGGAACGGCCACTCGCCTTGAGTTGGATCTTTTCACACCCTTACAATGTTCAGTTGATGATAGTTACTAATAGATCCACTTTTGAGACACATGATAGCGGCCCCTCTTAACCCAAAACTTTTCCCTTATAGGAACCCCCAGTCATAGTGTACTCTCCCATTCCATTCCCTAGCCCAAGAGTTGTCGAGAAGATTGTGTGCTGATGTGAACCTTAATGAACGTTTCACTCCACCCAAACTGTGCTGGCCGTTTGTAGATTGTCACTTGAGAAAAAA